CATGTTTATAGGAGACGTGCTGTCCAAGACTTCCGAACCCGCAGGCTGGCCAGCTCAGACGACAGCAATGCTTCATTTGATGTTTGCGGCGAAGTTGGTGGGGAGGAGGAGCAGCAACAGCGTGAGCGTCCGCGCCTTCTTAACTTGCCTGCTGGTGACGAGAGGAAGTTCCCCCTTAAAAAGAGATTGTTGGCAAGCGTGACTGCAGCCGCGACCGGTAGCAGTACCCATGAAGGCCAGCAGCAAGGGAAACAGCACAATATGAATGAAGCCGCTGGAATTCAGTCCGGCCTACAAGCACCTCAAGCTCTCCAAAAACAGGAGCAACTTGACCCCATGCCAGTTCTGGTTGGCAGCCCACTGTCTTCAGCGCAAGAGCGGGCCCAGGGAGAGCTCGATGCCGCCGCAGCATTGCTGAGTCTCATCGGTAGTCAATATGCTCCTGGACATTTTGCTTCAGGTGCAAGGCAAAGCACCTCTTCGGAGGTGCTGCAGCAGAGGCGACGGACACGCCGAATGGAACAGAAGGTGCAACGAGAGCGGTCGTCGATGCAGCGACAGCTGCTCCGGCTGAAGCAGCAAATCAAGAGCGAACGGCGGCTCCGGCAACAGCTCCAGGCCCAAATGCAGAAGGCGCGGAAACATCAAGCGCACCAGCAGCCTCGGCAGCAGCAGCAGCAGCAACAGCAGCAGCAGCAGTATTTGCCTCAACAGCAGGCGCACTCGCCGCAGCGGCCCCTGCATCAACCGCAACCGCCGCCTTTGCTTCAGCACGACCAGGAGAAGCGGCAGCGCTTGATGCAGCAGCAGGAACAGCACGTGATGCCTGTTGAGGAAGGCACACGGCAGCACACGCAGCGTAAGAGGAGGAGGGAACAGCAAGGGGAGCTGCAGCCGAGGGAAGAGGAGCAGCATCAGTCGTGGCAACATGGTAATCAGATCCCAGGGCATTTGATGGAAGATGAATGGCTTGAACAGGAGAATTCAATTGTTCACGCGCCTCAGCCGAGCACCTCTCAGCAGGCGTTGCAGCATTCAACTGCTGGAGCAGCAGCACGCCGCTCAACGTCCGAGGACCGCAGCACCCAGGTTATTCCGTTGGAGTTAGCAGATAATGCTGCGACATCTGCGTCTGCGTCTGATGGCTCATCAAGGGATAGTGCTGATATAGCTCCTGCAGCCGGTCCTGCAGCAGGGGCTGCAGTAGCAAGCGCAGGGGATGCGCGTGAGTTGCAAGCTGCCGTCTCGTCCGCTGATGAGTCGCCGACACAGGGAGCAAGCATGAACATAGAAATGAGGACCGTTCTTGGTTTGCACACTCATGGAAGTGCTGACAGTACTGGAGCAGCAGCTGCTGGAACAGCAGCAACAGCAGCAGCAAGTTCCGCCATAGCCGCATCTAGTTCAACTTCAGCAAGCAGTACGCTGCTAGAGGAGAGGGCTTCTGACCCTGATGCAGTGCGAGAACACCCGTTTGTGCGTCTGCCGCGGNGACGGTGTTCGCCTCCTGCATACGGCACATGATCTGCTCTTGCGGCGTGTTCTGTATTTGGATGAACTGAAGGAATTGGCGCGTGTCACAGCGGGTATGATAGAGTACGCAGTGAACCATCATCGTCTGGACCTGACACATTTCCAGCCCAGCCGCGCACTTGACAGGATGGGGATGCGTTTTCTTTTGATGGATGCTGTGGTTTCTGCCTTTATAGTTCTCGGGCAGACACCGCGAGCTCGAGATTGGAAGATTTTCACAGATTCCATCGGCCACGGCCATCCCGCGGGATATTTCCTTGGAAGGCGGCCAGGACGTGTGACATCCGGCTCCTTTCTGGGTCGGGACCTCAGCAGGGCAATACAAATGCTAAAGGCGGGAATAAGGCCGGCACCAGCAGACCTCGTAAACCTCAAGAGAGCGCTCATTTGCTCGCCGTCCTCTCCTGCGCGTTTTAGAAAGCCGGATTTCGATCGCTGGAGGGAGGATGACGTTAGTCCCACTCCTGGGCAGTAGTGTTTTCTACCAAGAACGCGAATATCGCGTACATTTTAGTGAACGTGGAGGGAAAACTGAGGAAGAGCACTAATATGCATTTTCTAAGTAGGAACCTGTTTGTTTTGCGCCAGATTAACATCGCAAGGAACTCAAAAGCCTTCAATCTTTTGACACAACAACTCAGAACGAGATAAATGGAGCAATTGTAGGGCGTGAACACGCCAATGTGGATGGAGTANTGACACAACAACTCAGAACGAGATAAATGGAGCAATTGTAGGGCGTGAACACGCCAATGTGGATGGAGTAGAGTGGAGCCTATGAAACACGAGCTATGCAAAGTGAAGTATGGAGGGGTTGTGAAGAAAAACCTTCAAGTTGAGGCATTGTTGTAATCGGCTTCTATATACACGCATACCAGCGCCTAACCCCTACCATTTGAGCACCCCACAACCCACTGGATTGGGCGGATACGGATCGCCGGTGCGGACCTCAGGGAACCTTGCAACTTCAGTATAAATGGCTTTTAGGGAAGTATGGTCGGACTAATACAAATCCATCTGCCGGAGAGATATGCGCATTCAAGTCAGGATCTACAACAGTTAGCGGCCTGGTGAAATGTAGAGGCGTGTGGAACTGCCTATTTAATTTCCCCTGGACGCTGCTGTTAGCTATCACCCAGCATCCATCGCAAGGAGTGTTCACTAGGCCGCATACGCGATTAGCCCGCAGTGATGCGCAGTTTTCAATGGAGGCGTATGCAGCTGTTACAGCATAGTTGTAACGATAGTTATCGGTCCTTACTGCAACTCGCGACTGTCTCCGGACTATACTGGAGCTCTCGATTGTCCTCGGAATAGTCAATATATTTAGTAGTTTCCTAAACGCAGCTGACACAGCCTCGCTTGACTCCAGGCCTCCTGGGCGCAGCGGCTCATGGTCTGGGGTTGCGCGTAAGGAGACGGCCGAACGCGTGTTGCACCGCACTTCGCTGCAACCGGAGGGGACTACTGTCTCACATGCAAGCACAGCGGAACATTCTTTGCTGCATGTAGACACATGCTGAGCACGCGCACTTGATTGGAAGCGACCTACCACGGCAACGTGAATGCTCCTCTGCAAATTTCAGACGGAGTGAGCAGCAACCTCAGCCCCAGGCCTTTGAGCCGGCAGCTGCGGGCACTCTGGGGACTGAAGAGGAGGTCACTTCAGTTGGGAGTCATTATGTTCAGTATTTTGACTGTTTTGCAGGTAAAGACGGTCACCGAGCAGCACGGACATTCGTGTTACGCTCCTCAACGAGGGGATCCAACGGTTTGCAAAAATATTGAGCAAAATCACCTAGTCTCCCAGTTGAGCGGGCCTAAAAGAATAAAGTTGTCAATATTAACAATAGTTAATATCGAAAACGTCACAGCTTAGGCAGCATAAATGGTGTCTTTGATCCAATTAACCACCACTGGCAGGCGACCGCATCGCTGCGATTGCAGGCAGGCTTGCAGGGCCGCATGGGAACAGCAGCGCATGACTGCATCCGCACTTGAGTCGACATTCATAGGAGTTACATTTGAATTTTATTTGCTTTCCGCTTTATTTATTAATCTTGCCGATGTTATCGCACTGTCCGACCTTTTTTATTGCTTGTGGAGCTCTCGATTGACTTCACATACCGCCTCCGCTAACCGTTAGAAATNTCCGACCTTTTTTATTGCTTGTGGAGCTCTCGATTGACTTCACATACCGCCTCCGCTAACCGTTAGAAATGTTTGACATACTGTTTTGGTCGGAAGTAGACATCTTTTCATTCACGGCTGCCTTTTCATAAACAGCAAAACACGTATAGAATATTCAGAAGCCACCATATGAGTCTCCCCTAGGCGTGGGGGGCGGAATCATGCGGTCCGTTCCCTGTCCCAGCTGATGTGCATACTGGTGTATGCGCAGTGACCCATGGCCTCTACTTTAGCACTCTAAACTTGGGACCAAATGCCCGAGCGGCATAATATTGTTCAGGAGAATGCAACTCCAACCGGCGCGTCAGCCTTTGTCTCTTCGGAGTTGCCAACGGTGGAATCGATATTTACTCGGTCGAGGAATTTGAGAGGCAAAGCCAGTCGTTCCTCTTCATCTCTACGTGTTATCCTGTCTGCCTTAGCCTCTGTAGCAGCAATTGTAATACTTGTTTTTTCATGTTCGCACGCGTACAACAGACGTGCAGTCCAAGACTACCGAACCCGCAGGCTGGCCAACTCAGAAGACAGCGATGCGGCAGTTGATCTCTGCGGCGAATTTGGTGGCCAGGAGGAGCAGCCACAGCGTGAGCGTCCCCGCCTTCCCAGCTTGCCTTCTGGCGATGGCAGGGGGATGCCCCATAAAAAGCGGTTGCTGGAAAGGGTGGCTGCAGGCGCGACCGGTGGCAGTGCCCATGAACGCCAGCAAGAAGGAAAACAGCACAGTCTCAGTGGAGCCGCTNAGGCGCGACCGGTGGCAGTGCCCATGAACGCCAGCAAGAAGGAAAACAGCACAGTCTCAGTGGAGCCGCTGAAGCTCAATCCGGCTTACAAGCGCCTCAAGCTCTCCCAAAACAGGAAAAGCCTGGTCCCTCGGCGCTTCTCGTTGGCAGCCCACTGCCTTCAGCGCAAAAGAGGGCCCAAGGAGAGCTCGATGCCGCCGCAGGACTGCTGACTCTCATCCCTCGTCACTATGATGTTGCAACTTTAGCTTCAGGTGCGAGACAAACCGCCTCTTCGGAGGTGCAGCAGCTGCGGCAACAGGTGCGCCAAATGGAACGAAAGGTGCAAAGAGAGCGGTCGTCGATGCAGCGACAGCTGCGCCGGCTGCAACAGCAATTGAAGAGCGAACGGCGGCGCCGGCAACAGCTCCAGGCCCAAATGCAGCAGGTACGAGACGGTCAATCGCAGCAGCAGCACCTGCCTTGGCATTACCTTCTATGGCATCAGCAGCAGCAGCTGTTGCGCCAACAACAGCAGCAGCAGCAGTATTTGCTTCAACAGCAGGCGCACTCGCCGCAGCGGCCCCTGCATCAACCGCAACCGCCGCCTTTGCTTCAGCACGACCAG